TCTTCCTGTCTTTTCCAAGACTCTGCTCAACCACATTTTCCTTGTATTTTTCTACTGCTATTTCCTTTCGTGTACTTCAACTGCCCTTTCCAATGGTTTCTTTCGTTCAGCATACAGATACGCCATTAAGAAAACAGGTATCTCTGCAATATCTGCCCAATTTTCAGTTATCCTCACTGCATTTAAGGATCCCTAGTTCAGTAGCAGCAGTTCTCACTGTACTTTCTGACCCACAGAGAAGAGCGATCACAGAGCTCTTCATGGATGCTGGGGCTCTCCTCACAAACTTATTTCTCACAGACATTGTGAAAGGTATCTCCTCTGGACCCTCTGGGTGACCTGGTGGTACATGATAAATCCATTCCAACCTTGCTACGTCTTTGGATCCCTTCCTCTACAGTGTACCAAGGCAGGTCTCACATTTTAACTTCATTTAGCGTAGATCACCTTTTGGTCCCTGCTTCAGCCAACCAACTAACCAGTCAGAGCCCTTTCTAACCCCTTAAGCTATAACAGTGAATCCAGAATCTTTGTTAGTGGTCCTATATCAATAAATTTGGCCTGATCCAACTTTATATTCCTTCCACTATTATCCCACCCCGTAATATCCATTCCCACACCTATCCCCCAGATTTCTACCTCTATAAATTGAAAAAAATCATGCAGTTTTTTAAGAGTGTAGCATACCTCCTCATGGGTCCCACTGTGTAGCTGACCCTGGAGGGCCTGCTGGGACTTGAGTCTAATTATAGGGCTAGAAGCAAAGAAGGGTGGTAAGGGTAGTTCCTAAGGGGAATCAGCAATGTCTTACAAGGCAATTACTTCAGGGAAGGCCATTACAGGTTCTCCAGGCAAAGCAGGGTTAACCTCCTCACACAGGAGTGGAAGCACTGCTTCTATTGGTAAAGAAGGCTGATCAAAATTTGGGGTTCAGTACCCCATTCCAAATTTAAGGATCTCATTCCTTCCCAATCAATGCCCTCATTTTAACAGCAGACATCTTGTTAGATTGGGAATTCATTTTGCATTGTAATTCAGCCACTTTGTAGACTCTGGGTTTGGTTTTCAGTAATCTCAGCGCTGCATCTGCAGAAGAAAAGAGTTTCTTTAGGCAGACACAGGAACTTCCAGGTCATTTATGCAGAGCTTGAGCTGGGAATTTGAAGACCTGAGCTCATCTTTTTCTTTCCCCACTTTCTCCAGCAGTTAGGAGCAACCAGTCAGTCTCATTACACTTGTTAATTTGACAAAAAATATTTTAAGTCATCAAATACATGATCATCCAGAACGTTGTCTTTTATAAGCATTTGAGTAGGAGTATCCAACAGTGATATTTTTGCATATCTCTATGGCCACATCACACTGTGGAGTATCAGTGCCCTCTTTACCACTGGAAATAGTTATTAGTTCCTTTAAAACTAATCAGATTAAGGAACCAATTTCAGAACGCCATAACTAATTCAGAAAACGCATCCTTAAGATTCTCTTCCTCCAGAGCCACTCTCAGTACCAAAATGTGAATCAGACAGGATTCTCCAGAGATACAGAACCAATAGGAAAAAATATATACGTCTATCTATATCTATCTATCTTTAGGTTTATCTATCTACATCTAGATAAAGATATTTCTATCTATTAGAAATCTCTTATTAGATTATTTCTTTTTTTTAATGTTTTTTATTTTTTTATTTTTTTGTGTGAGGAAGATCAGCCCTGAGCTAACATCCATGCCAATCCTCCTCTTTTTGCTGAGGAAGACCAGCGAGCTCTGAGCTAACATCCACCGCCAATCCTTCCCCAAGGATTTTTCTCCCCAAAGCCCCAGTAGACAGCCGCATGCCACAGCTGCACATCCTTCCAGTCGCTGCATGTGGGACTCGGCCCCAGCATGGCTGGAGAAGCGGTGCGTCGGTGCGCGCCTGGGATCCGAACCCAGCCGCCAGGAGCGGAGCGTGCGCACTTAACCGCCAAGCCACTGGGCAGGCCCTATTAGATTATTTCTATCTAAATAGATAGAGATTTATTTTAAGGAACTGGCTCACACACTTGTGAGGCCAGCAACTCTGAAATGTGTAGGGAGATTTGCCAGCCAGAAACTCAGGTAAGAATCAATGTTGCAGTCTTGAGGAAGAATTTTTTCTTCTTGAGACACTTCTGTTTGAAATTTAGGCCTTCAATTGATTGGATGAGGCCCACCCACATTACTGAGGGTAATCTCCTTTATTTAAAGTCAATTGATGGTAGATGTTAACCACATCTTCAAAATACTATCACAGTAACACCTCGATTAGTGTTTGAATAAATAACTAGGTACTATGGCCTAGCCAAGGTGACATACAAAACTAACCATCACACATAATAAACTTACTGATTTCTCAACCAAATGCTACTTTCAACCATAGGAAAAACTTTTTAAACAAGAATATCTCACATGTTCCAAAAAGGCAGTAAAATTTCAGTAGGGACACTCTGGAGAGTGGATGGGAGGAAAAGTTCTTCAGCCAATACTGTTTGGAGAAACAAACCTTCTATAAAACCATCTCTCTCTCCTACCTTGGAGAACACGAGGAGAATACCATTCTTAGGAAGCTATAACATTGTACCTACATTTTAAAAACTATTTTTATGTTTCAAAAATGTGATCTTCAACTCTACAACAGAAATCATACTTTAAAATTACACCTCAGAGTGCTCTCACTTTGAGAAGCAATGACTTAAAAAGATGGATGGTATGTATCTACTGAATCTGTTGCTTGCCTTGACTCTGACCAGAAAACTTACAAGTTAGTACTTCATTTTCTCTGACAAAGTAGAATCCAAACCAGGAGGAATCTAAACCGGGCTGAGTGAGTGGATGAATAACGGGCCAAATAATCAAAACAGCACATGAAGAAATCTTATAAATGGATTGAGATAAATCCTTTCTGTCCTTTAAAACAAATGGATTTTTTTAAACTTTTCTTGGCGATTCATTAATTCAATAAGCACTCACTATGTGTCAGGCACTGTTTAAGGCACCTGGGTTAAACCCCTGAACAAAAAGATAATCCTGTCTTGATGGAGCTCATATTCTAGCAAGATAACATCCCAATCCAGCTATTTTCTCTTTGAACATAATAACCCAAGCATGAAGAAGTATCAAAACATTTTTTGAAAATCTACTATGTGCCAGCCAACTTCCAGTTCTGAGCCTGGTTTTCCAGCAGACACTGTTTCACCATTAGCATCGAGTATGGTCTCTGGAGCCAGAATGCTGGGATCCAAACCCTAGTTCCACTACCTCCCAGTTGCATGACCTTGGCCAAGGTACTTAACCCTCACCTACAAAACAAAAATAATCACAACTACCTCACTGGATTAGGTAAGAATTAAATGAGTTCAAATGTGTAAAGCACTTAGTCTGGCACACAGGATGTACTAAAATATTAGCTATTATTTTAATTCAATTTCCAGAAAACCAGATATTACTCAGGCAATAACGGGAGAAAATAACAACAATTATAACTTTTAAAACATTTTTATCTGGCCCATTTACTCCCTCCATTACTACTACTTTCAAGAATTCTTCCTCTATTCTCAACCCAATTTCCATGATATCCAGTTAAGTTTTATAAAAACTATAAAATGTGATCTCCATGTATCTCACGCACAACATCAATTCATAGTGAAGTTTGTATAAACACATACTTAAGAGGCTTTTAATCTAATGAGAAAATTTCTTAAAAAGTCAAAATTATACTCATTTTCCCTAAAATTACAACAGCAATTATCTCGAGAAACTTTAGCATTAGAACCAGCAAATAAGGGCTATGTAATTGCCTAGTTTTAAGGCCTAGATATGTAAATAGCGCGTTCAATCTCTAGGACCTATAGGTCCTTTGCAGTTGTCCATATTCATAAACCGAAGTTAATTTTCAACCTAGCTCACTGCATATAATAAAAAATACAAGCACAGTCCTCTGAAATGGATGGCTCATCCTCATTTGTTCAAAACAGACCTCACTCTTGGTTCAAAGTTTATAAGAGGTCAACAATCTCAGAAAGGTTAATATCCACAATTTAGAAGTGACTCGTTGTCAAGGACATGCTGCAAACGGTGCCTTCCCCAAAGCAAAGTCTACTCATTAATATAACTGTGCCTACCGACAAGTAGGCAGGCTAGTAAAACACATTTTCAAAGCTGCTTTTAAGGGATCAATTTTCGTAAAGAATAATTCAAGATAGATTGTAAATCTGAGCACGTTTTTACACTCTTAAGGTGGGGAGGTGCTGAGGCACAACAACGTTAATATTATGTGCACGCATCAATAACCTTAGTCCACAGGTACAGTTTTGACCCTAATCTCGGGGTTGAAAGCCCTGAACTACGGAGCTTTCGAGTTTCATAGTAGGTGCCTTCGATTCTCCGGTGGAAATCCGGGGGGACAGACAAAGAAACTGTGTTGTCTCCCCCGACCATCCCATACCAAAGTCTGGCCAACATAGAATACTACACCTTGAGGCGTTTCTCAAGAATAGGTATGAGCTGCCCCTTCTCCAGAATCTGACAGAGAAGAACCGAGAATGGCACACCTTCCCAAATATGGCGGTAAGGAATGACCTGCCAGTCCCTACGGAGAAGTAAGATGCTGCTCGTTTTTAAAACAACTCCGAGGGCGGGGCTCCCAGGCCCCTCCTCAGCTGGGTTCCGAGGAAGGGAAGAACAGAGGATGAAGGGTTAGAGCAGAAAACTGAAAAACAGTCCTAAATGCAGGATTTGCCAGGACACTGGAGCGACAGAGAAGAGTAGGGGGACCTCTTTCGACCGCCGTGGGTAGTGGAGCGGGCTAGCGCGGATGATCCCGGCCCCGCAGGGGGAATCCCCCGCCACAAGCCGAGGAGCGGTGTGCGCCGGGCAGTTGTCGAGTTCGCGCCCCGGGTCCGCTCCCCAACGGGCACCGGGCTGAAGGTGCCCTCTCGACCCCTCTCGCTGCCCCTTAGAGGTCCTGGGCCCAGGTTACCTCCTAAAACGTGGAGGCCGCCGCTGCTTCCCGCCGCACAGGACGAACGACAGCTCCTCAGATGCCACGGTGGGGTCACTCAGCAGAGCGACCGCGGGGAGCGTGGGTCAGCGTTCCGGAACCCGTGGGGTTCACGCGGAGGCTCGCCCCTACCCTGGGCCCCGCCAGCCGCGCCCACTACAACGTGCTCGCGACCGCGCGTGTCCCCTCGGCGCGTCCCACACCACGCAGCCGCGCGCGGCACTACGGGACTCGTAGTTCCGGCGCGAAAGTCGCGCGGCGCTCCACTCTCCGCCGAGAGTGGCGTCACGTGAGCCACGCACTCCCCGGAAGTGCCGTATCAACATACGCGTGGCGCGGGACGCCGCTTCCGCAAACAGAATCGTGGGTAGCTGTGTCGGTGAGTGTGGCGGCTGGAACTCTGGCCCTTCCTTTCTTCTTTGGCTTTAGGGCCTCCGCCGCCGTCGAAGTAGAAGGGGCACCGCGACTACTGACATAGGCTCGCTTAGCATTAGCTCTGTGCCTCAGTCAGTACCCGCCGCGAGGGGTTTATTGTGCCCTGATCCCGGATGAAGATGGGCACTATTGTGGGAGCCGGCGGGCGCTGTTGCTCCTCCAGGCCGGGCTAGCTTGGGTCCGGAGAAGCCCGAAGAGCTGTATCAGATCGCACCCCAGGGCCGCGCTGAGGGACGGGCTGGGAGGGGGTGTCGGATCAGAAGAAGCGCCTGTAATGTCCTGAGCGGCGGAACGGAAACCTGAGCCGGAGGTTTAGAGCTAGGCCGCGCCCGTGACTGAAGAGGGTGAACTTGGCTGAAGAATTCCCTTCTCGCCTCTCTTGGGTCCTCCTGGGCCCCCCGAGTTGACCCTGTCTAGCTGGCGGGTCGGGCCGTAGAGCTTACCGGGCTTGAGCTGAAGCCCGGCGGCCTTGGCGCCCTGCTCTGTCGTTCTCTGAGGGACTGAAATGAGGGAGATGTGGCTTGCCTCAGAGGTGTGCCTGGAAAGCCAGTTGGAAATGCCTTTTCGGTGATTTAATGCATATCCGTTTGTGTCAGTTCAGTTTTTACCCTGAACTCCTTCCTCGAGGGTTTTGAGGGGCACCTCTCTTGCTTTTGGAGTTTATTCGTTATTCCACTTGGACGCTCTGTTTCAAATATTCTTACCCATTTCTGCAGTCGTTTGGAATTTTGTGTCATTTATCTTGACTAAATTGATTATGTTTTTATGATATCTCATCTGTGGAAATAGAGTTGCCTGTATAAATTCAGTCTTATTCCCAATACTAATTTTAGGCGATAATTACAGCTAAAGATGGTAAATCACGTTGGTTTATTTGAATTTAAAACCAATTTCTATTTCCTTATTAGGAAATAAATGGCAGGGAGAAGATAGGGATTTGATAATTCCGTGGCCGGTTTTACTAGATAATCATTTTAAGTAGTTATTCTGAAAATTACATTTCTGGGTGATTTTTTTCCCCCATCTGATTCAGTTCTTCCTACTTTGGCACGTTTTTGGTATTTTGTACCTCAAACCTTGGGTAGTGAAAGCTAATATCCCTTGAAATCCTTCCCGGTTTATATTGACTTGTTTTTACTCATTCCTTCAATCAACTTTACTTCTTATTGTATTTCTTTACTCAAAAGACTTTTTTTCCACCTCTTCACAACTTTCTTTTTTTTTTTTTTTTTTTTTATGTGAGGGAGATCAGACCTGAGCTAACATCTGTGCTAATCCTTCTCTTTTTGCTGAGGAAGACCGGCTCTGAGCTAACATCTATTGCCAATCCTTCTCTTTTTTTTTTTTCCCCCAAAGCCCCAGTAGATAGTTGTGTGTCATAGTTGCACATCCTTCTAGTTGCTGTATGTGGGTCGTGGCCTCAGCATGGCCAGAGAGGCAATGCGTCGGTGTGCGCTCGGATTCGATCCCGGGCCGCCAGTAGCAGAGCGCATGCACTTAACCACTAAGCCACTGGGCCGGCCCTCTTCATAACTTTCAAGTTCTGAATTTGATTTTGAGACTTTTGCTCTCCCTTCTTCGTTTGATTAGGCTTACAGCCTAACATTATTTTTTCTTCCTTTTGAGAAAAATTGGCCCCGAGCTAACATCTGTTGACAGTCTTCCTCCTTTTTTCCTTTTTTTTCTCCTCAAAGCCCCAGCAGATAGCCGTATGTCATAGTTGTGCATCCTTCCAGTTGCTCCATGTGGGAGCCCCTGGCAGCATGGCTTGATGAACAGCGTAGGTCCGTGCGCAGGATCCAAACCCATGAACCCAGGCCACCAAAGCAGAGCCGGTGAACTTAACCGCTACCACCAGGCCAGGCCGGCCCCACAGCCTGACATTTTAGTAGTGGTATATAAGCTGTCAGCTTCTTGAAGACTGATTCACACAGTGCCTCATTGAGCTCCTCTGTAGTAGGAGTTCAGTAAATTTGTTGAATGACTTACTTGATTCCTGTCCAATAGATAGTTCACTTATTTCTCTCCCTCTCCGGTTTTATGCATAGGCCTAAGAACATTTGAAAGAGACCTAATGGTCATTAAGTTGCAGGGTGGGTCTTGAAACTTCATATCCAAAGCCATTTCTACTTTCTTCACTTTCTATGTAATTCTGACACCCGTTGTGAAATAAGGATTTCAGAAGTCAACTGTAGGTTCCCAGACAAGTCTGGGAACTTGATGCCCTTAGTGTCTCTAGCCAAAAAAACCTAAGGTTACCCTTATTAAGTAGTTTGGTCCAAAGAATTTAATAAGTATTTATGTCCTAACAACTTTATTTAAAAAATGATACACAAATTGAAAGAAAAAAATATTTGTTTAATTCTTAGTTAACCTCAAGTGCTTACTATGGAATGTGTACACCTGTTGGGTACTGTACAGCTTCTCAAGCCTTGAAATCAGATTTGACACTGCCACCTTCATTTCCTGTTTCACCTTGATTTTCTGTGGTACCATGAAAATCTCAGCTTCACAAAGTTCTGATGTCATTGAAAGGAATGTAGCGCAGTCTCCGCAGTTGTAGCTGTGCTCTACTTGAAGCTGAATCTGTGATATCTTCCAGATGTCAGATATCACTGTTTCCCTTAACATTTTAAAATATCCTGCTGTGTCTGTATGAGTTCGTTACAGTGCCCAGCACACAATTTGGGAGCCAAGGCTATAGAGTAAGGATCAGATAGAAATGGAACCCATACTTTTGTAATACCCCCACTTCATTTATCAGATTTAATGCCAATAGTGACTTTTATGGATAAGATCCTAAAAGTGTTTGGGGATTATAAGTAGTACTTCCATATTAGCATATTCAAAGATTCATATGTAAAGATATATCAACTAACATTATTTTCAATATTCTCTCTATAATGAGATTTTTTAAAACTCCTAGTTGATCACTGAAATTAAATGGCTAGTTCCTGGTTAAAATTATTTTAAAGTCTCAGCATTAGTGTTTACAAATAATATCAAATTTTTGCTATTCCAGTGTTAGTTCATGAAGTTTTACCATCTATTTAAGTAATCAAAAATGGAAAATTCTGCAAAAGCAGAGGAATGTGAAAAGATCTCTCTTGAAGAGGCAAAAGCATCCATAGATTTGGAAACAGAGTCTTCATTCAGTAGTAGTGAAAACACAAGTGCTCCTGGGACTGGGCTTTCTGAAAAGGCTCCTACTTGTGGGCAAGTAGACACACCAAAAAAGAGAAAAATGGAGTTTGAAGATGATCTTGTAAAGGAAAGTTCTAGTTGTGGGGAAGACACTCTGTCCAAGAAAAGAAAACTTGATGCTGAAATTGTCCCAGAGGAAAAAGGTTCTGGTGATGATGAAGGCATTTCAAGGAAAAGAAGAATGGAAACTGATGATTTTCCAAAAGATGAACCTTCTACTGGAGATGGCACTCAGAAAAAGAGAAAAATAGAACTTGAGGATGTTCCTGAAAAGCAAAAAGTATGTTCAATGTATTTTCTTTTATTAATGTTGGATTGTCAGTTGAGATGTGGAGCAGCTGTGAAATAGTACTGTTTTCACATAATCTTACTAACTTAAGAATGTTCTATTTTTAATAGATACCACCTCTTAGAGTAGGCTTTTAACTCTTGTAATTTAGTTATTTTTTAGATGAAACTTCTAATGAGATAATTTTTATGTTCTTTCAGAACTCTTATTTGACTAGAAACTTGAAAGCTAGTTTTTATAGTTTGCTTTTTCTTGGTTTTTTAAAAAAGACAGAATATAAGGTCCAGATGATTTACCTTTTTTCCTTTTTATTTTTCTCTCTTTTTGTGTCTGAAGTGATTGAGATTATCACTTAAAATGTTGAATTTCAAAATCATACCCAGCTTTACATTCTTTTGTCAGTGTAATTCCTTAAACTATATTGGTCCCAGCTTCTTATTGGGGTAGTTACAGTTTTAGCTAATTGGATGCAAAAGCCTGATATTTAGCAGGGATATTATAGGGCAAATGATAGCAAGTCATTTTCATCTGGGAATACCATATTGTGAAGGAATCTGAGGCAGAATGTGAATTCGGAGGGAAAGATTACTTCAATGAGTGACTAAAATTCTGCTGTCAGCCCTGAAGAGGAAAGTGACAGATAGGCCCGGCATTTGTCATTGGTGGAGTGTGAATCCTTGTAAGAGAGGAGCTTGATTTATAAATGTAGATTTTAAACTTTTACTAGCAGCAGAACTGTTTTTTCAAATGAAAATCTTAAATTTAAACCTAATATGTAAAATAGGTAAAAGATGAAGCACTTTGATTGAACATGGAAGTAGGGGAATGTGAAGCCCTTTACCTACCATGGCGTTTTTACGGAATGCTTAGGGTCTTAGGTAGGGAGCACAAATTAAAACTGTTGAGTTAGATTAATAGCAAATAATAATAGAAATCACTGACACTGCCTGTTGCGTTCTAATCCCTTTGTATATATTATCTCATTTAATGCTCACAATTTTGTAATAATATAATAAATATAATTTATTCCCATTTTATTCTCTTATAGGAACCCCATCCATGGACTGACATTTATTGTGTTGACTAGATCAGAACTCTGAAAGAATACTGGTTTTATTAAGACATTGGCGCTGAAATTATATAGATGAAAGATCAAGATGAAAATTTTAAACTAAGAATTGTTTTTAAAAATAGAGAACAGGGGAAAACAAGTCTCATGTCTGATTATAATTAGTAGGATTTCTGTGGTTAATGCCATTGCTTAATGAAGTTTACCAATTTCAGTAGTATTTTATCCTTATATAGGTCAGGTACTCTTTTAGGCTTATTTTTGCCGTGTTCTGACCCTTAATTTTGTTCCATTCTCTTATTTTCAGCACTTGGAAGAAGGACACAGCTCAGCAGTGGCTGCCCACTACAATGAACTTCAGGAAGTTGGTTTGGAGAAGCGTAGCCAAAGTCGTATTTTTTACCTAAGGAACTTTAATAATTGGATGAAAAGCATCCTCATTGGTATGATTGTTTTTTGATTTATAGTTTGAAATTTTTTATTTCAGCTTATGTCTCATTTTTTAATCCCCAGTCGTTAATCGTACACCAAACTACTAGGTCTTTAATTCCTATTCATTTAATTATCAAACCTTGGCTTTATAAAACTGGAGCCAAAACTAAAACTACATTATAAAATATAAATTCTTTTCATATTTACTTTTGGTTGACTACATAAGATATTAATGAGTATTTAATTGGTATTAAGTTGGTAAGTTAATAAGGCTTTGAAAAGGCAGTGTGCTCCTTTTATACTTAGAATTAAGGTTACCTAGTGCTATTAAGTAATTCTATTTTACTTTAATAGTTTTGGAGCAATGACATATTGGATTAAACATTCAGGTTCCATTAAGTTAAGCAAATGGGCAGTGTCATGCTTTTTTATCTCTAGGCCTTTGATGAGTTGGTAAAAGTCGGGTGTTGATTATCATCTGAATTTGTGTTTCTTGCACAGTGTCTGGAGAGAAGTAAAGTTTACTTTGAGGGTTGATAAAGACATTCAACTTTTTGGAGCCAGCATTTTATCTATGGAACCTCATCTTTGAAATTAAAATGGAAGTCAGTGGAGGAAATGTGATTCAGAATATATTTATTGCTTTGTATCTAGTACATTAAGTAGTCAGACTCTTACATGAATTTAGAGAATTTTAAAAACCAGTGTATTTTAAAGTTTTTCACATTAAGGGTTTTTGCTTTTTTAAAGTCAGCCTCACTCAGGAAAAGGGAGAATGCTTTCTTGATTACACTGGAAAGAACTGAGTGGTAACTATGGGTACTTTCTACTAGTTTTTATGATAATTTACTAATTTTTTTTTGGCGGGGGGAGATTGGCTTTGTGCTAACATCTTCTGCCAATCTTTCTCTTTTTCTTTTTTCTCCCCAAAGCCCCAGTTCATAGTTGTGTAGCATAGTTGTAGAGTTGTAGCTCTTCTGTATGGGACGCCGCCTCAGCATGGTTTGATGAGCGGTGCGTAGTTCCGTGCCCAGGATCTGAACCGGTGAACCCTGAGCCCTGGAAGCGGAACATGCGAACTTAACCGCTACACCACTGGGCTGGCCCCGATCATTTACTAATTTTTTTTTATAGTTGTTTGTTTGTTTGTTTGTTTGTTTTGTAATTTACTAATTTTTAAAGATAGATTATCCATTCTGAGAAGTATTAAAGCGTGGGAATTAGGCTTATTATTTCGAACACATTTTAATATTTTCTATCTCACTTTTGTTTTTAATATTCATGTTTTGTTACAAAAATATGATTTATTTGATTCTGCCAGGTGTCAGCTAGGGTAATTGAGTGAGTGTCAGCTGCTTTTTTTTTTTCAAGTTAATATTATGGCATTTTTAGTCTATACTTTTAAGATAATCTTTGGACACTAGTCCTAACTTTTCAGTTTTTCTCTTCCTTTCCTCATCATCCTCATAAGGCAGATAACTTATCATTGGGTATTTTTTCTGATGTGTCAGTTATTCATGTATTTATTCATTGAATAAATATCTTTAAGTTCAGCCATATTTTCCATATTGTTAGTTGTATTATTTTTATAATCAGGAAAATAGGTAGTTTTTAAAAAGTCTTAAGTCAGACTTAGCAAACATTTCTCTCTCAGCATATTCATGGTATTCTTTGCTTCTTCAGCTGCTCCTGCAACTCTCTCAATGGGTGCTTTGCTATCTGCACCTGTCTTTCTGGTACTAATGCAATCACTTTGGCCTGTGCCAAGCTCCCTGTCTGGCTTTTGACTTTCTCTTCTCAATACCCATTCTTTGTCATTAATTTTCTCTTTCTTGTTGGTGCTTAGAGCTTAGTAATTTGTTGTGTACTATTCTTGAGTGTAATAAAGATATCTTTGAATAATTTCATGATGATTTCTCCTCTCCTTAGTCTTAGTGTGTGGAAATAAATAGATTTTATCATTATTTTTGTTTTTCATTTTTTCAATATTATTTTTTATGCTGTTTTCTTAAGAGTCATAGCAGAAAGTTAAATATGGAACATTTGTGCTTCTCTTGAAATTACTTTAAGATCCTATGGATAGTGAAAGGTAGAAGTATTTGTACAGAATATGCTAGCAGTCAAAATAGTACACACATGAAATAAGAAGTGTTAAACTCAAGAGTGATAAAGACAGGAAGAGTAGATCTAAGATTCAGTATTGTATCAAGTTTTAGAATTACTGAATACTTCAATTGTCTAAGAATATTAATATGCCTTTAACTGATATTTGAACCATTTGGCTATTGATGTATGAGGACCTACTGATATTATTCATTGGCTATTAATGTGATTTGATATATTAATATAAAAGATTGCGTTTTTCAGAGTGTTTAGGAGTTCTGATGATAGAAAATTAAGAGATATGTATAGTTTTTTGACTAATTCTTGTGTTTCATTTGGTGGTAAACCTGACAAATTTTATGAAAATCAAGCACTCTTATGATCCCATAATAGTTTTGATTTACTTAGGTGAATAATAAGCTAAACACTTAGCTTTGGAAAGAGAAAACTACAAAAAATTGTGAATAATTATCTTTTCTCTTATCGTGAACAAGTGTTGAGTCTTCCTGTGTTATTTAGAATTTAAAATGTCTGCAAATTATTTAATGTTGAATCAAATTCTGAAAGTAACCTTCAGAAACCTGTCTTAACTTTGTGAAATACCAGATATAGACTCTTCCATCTTTAATGCTAGAGGATCAAGTTAATTAACTTAGTCATATTTTGTTTTAGTCATAACTCTTAGTCATATTTTAGTTTACCAAAAGCTATGAATTAATTACATAAATGAATATATAATAGTTTATATGTCAGGCAGAAGGTAGTAGGTTATTAGGAGTAACAGTTTATGCTTTAATAAAAATGGAGAAAAGATATTCTTTTATGACCTATTTCTCTCTTTTAGGGGAATTTTTAGAAAAGGTGCGACAGAAAAAAAAATGTGATATCACTGTTTTGGACCTGGGATGTGGGAAAGGTGGAGATTTGCTCAAGTGGAAAAAGGGAAGAATTAACAAGCTAGTTTGTACTGGTAAGATAAATAATGACGTGGGAAAGTATAATTTGTGGTCAGTCAGGTAAATGGAAAATAAGAAGGATCTCATTGTCAATGTGACACTAAAATAGCTTTCAAAAAGATATCTGGAGGCTACACATGAAATGGGTGTTTTTTTTTTAAACAAGTTATGAGACTTTACTGATGGTGTTATAATACAGTTAATGAGCCTGGGATAACTTCTCCTTCCTAAGAGGAAAGAAGCAGTCAGAAATGGAGTCATGTCTAAAGCACATACTTAAAAAGGCTTCCTCTTGCCAAAGATAAGACAATTTCATCATCAAAAAGAGTAGTGGTTACAGTGGATTGAACCACATCAAATAAAGAAAGAAATCTCATTGTTCACCCTTGGAGGTTGCTAGGAAACTTGCTCATTATTCTGAAATTCATAAATTAAGTGGGGGCAGGGAGGTTGAGTATTTATCTTCCTTACCCTATATGAACTGTATTTCAAGGTAACCAAATGGTTGAAAAGGGAAACTCCTCTGTATTGAAAAATTATAATGAATAAATGCAGGAGAAATGATGAAAATTTCTATTTTTCCACCCTTCATGAAGTAATAGATCTAAGCAACAATCATAAAAAGATGCTAAAGCTAGTAGGTGAAAAGTTGATAGGAATTAATAATTGAATAAGTCAAGCACCTGAACCCACTGGTCAATCTTAACACTGACGTGGAAAAAGCAAATGTCATGTTCTTCCCAATGTAATGAGTAATAGGACATGCACACCACCACCTGTGAAGATATTGCCTATTCTCAAAGTTTTTGGTTCTATGACCACTGTACACTCTTAAAAATAATTGAGGATCCCAGAAAGCTTTTCTGTATGTGGTTACATCTATTGATTATAGAAATTAAAACTGAGAATTAAAAAAAATTTTTTTTTTTTTTTTTTGGTGAGGAAGATTAGCCATGAGCTAACATCCATTGCCAGTCTTTCTATTTTTGCTGAGGAAGATTGGCCCTGAGCTAACATCTGTGCCAATCTTCTATTTTGTATTTGGGATGCTGCCACAGCATGGCTTGATGAATGGTGCATAGGTCTGCGCCCAGGATCCAAACCTGCCAAGCCCAGGCCACCAAAATGGAGCATGTGAACTTAACCACTACGCCACTGGGCCAGCCCCTAAAAATGTTTTTAAATCATTAAAGAAATAAAAGTTAGTGAGAAGACTGGCATTTTAAAAATATTTTTGCAAATCCCTTTAGAGTCTGGAATATGCATTTTCAGATTTCATGTGACTGAACATGAGGAAACAGGAGACATCTGGATTCTCAACCCTGATTCTGCATTCAATATGTTGTGATATTTTATTTAATAAGTGGTTGTAAAATGGAGGTGTGTTTTACTAGCCTTTTCAGATAATTGAGGATATGCATCTTTGATACTACATCAAAGCTTGGCAAGAGGTAGTTCCTTAAAGGTTAGTTACCATGTGGAATCTGAAACCATATTGATGAATTTTTTGTGTTCTGTTACATTGAAATCCATTGGTCTGTCTTGCACTTTGAATAGATCTTTTGCCCTGCAAGATTTTGTAATATTTGGAAAATAATGTTCACTCAAGTTATGCAGATCTTCTAAATGTTGATATCCAGAAATCACATTTGTTTAATAGCACCACCAGTCAGAAAACTCTTAAGTGTTGAGAAGATGCCCAGCCCATGGTGGTAGGTACAAGTTTTTCAGAAATGTAATTTTCACTTGAAAGCTCAAATTTTATCATAGGTAACAAATACTGTCTGTTGTTTTGCTTGAAGTGACAGGCTCACTTTGTTCATTTTCAATAAACTGTCTGCCAAATTAGAAGTCTGAATAACCAGTTTGTCAGTGGTTCTTTCAAGTGAAAACAATTTTCTGTGAAGAAAGTGGCCAGTGTGGCTCACAACGCAGTCACACAGGTCCTGTTCAAGCTTTCTTTTGTAGCAGAAATGTTTTGTTACTTTCCATTTCATCACACAGAATATTAAAAAGACATGTATTCAAGAGCCAAGGTTTAATAAAATTAATTTTTACTGCTTTATCAAGGACATTATTAAATGAAATTGGCTTTTTTTCATGTTGGTGTATAGTGGTGAAGAATGTGTCAAGAATGACCAGTATCATTTGATGCTGCTATCTTGTACTCATGATAAGGTGCCAGCAATTTACCCACCATTGCTTTTGTACCATCAGTGTAAATCTCAACACAAGGAAAAAGGCAAATAACATTTTATTAAGAAAATATAAATGTGATGTTTCCAAAGGTGGGCATACAGTGTCAGGTTTTATATTCAAATTGGAATCTAAACTTTCTGCTTTTAACTTTGACTAAGCATTTAAAAATCATGATAGAACTTTTCTGTTATCAGTACCTATTGAGAAAGCTTTTAATTCCTTTTGAAAAATAATAGGGCATTTGCACTGGAACAGACTTTTTTGTCTTTTGTTTTGAAGGAAATAGAAGCTTTTTGCTTGTACTAAGGCTAGATTTCATGCCAGAGTTTATCCATTGAGATTAATGTCTAGATTTGTGCCATCTTTGCATTTATGTTTTATCTCTGTGGGTCTTTGTTGACAGTTAACTAACCCATCCCCCTTGCAGATATCGCTGATGTTTCTGTCAAACAGTGTCAGCAGCGGTATGAGGACATGAAAAATCGTTGTCGTGATAATGAATATATTTTCAATGCAGAATTTATAACTGCTGATTGTTCAAAGGTACAGGATTTTTTTTTTTAATTTGTCAGTTTATTTTTTATATTTTTAGTTTGGATAAATGATTTGTTTTAAAAATAAGCTCATTTTTTGAAAATGTGCTTTGAAACATTAAAAACTTGAGGACGTGCATTTTCAGTTTCAACTAGAATTTCTATTAATGATAAATTTCCTTAAATGACCCACTGAATACTTCTGGGAATTTTTTTTGCTTTTAATAATTTGAACTTTTGAAATCATTTGTTGCTTTTCTGTTGGACGAGATTTATTTTCCAGTATTTTGAAATAGAACTGACCTTATCTTTTGTTCACCTTGTAATTTATTAGGATGGTTTCCCAACAGATCAGAGTCTTGTGTTTTCCACCTTCCACGTGTTTCTGAATCTCTTAACAACTATGAAGTTTAATAACTACAGAGACACTTGAATGGCGAAAGTCTTACCTTGAGCTTGATGTTCTTTATCTGTCTGACTCATTAAACTATTATAGATACCTTTAATCCTACACATTTTGTTTACAGTCGTGAAAGTGAGAAGGAAAAGGGATAGTATACTGCTAGAATGTTGGAAACCTTTAAAAACACTTTTGCATTTTAAAAAATGTTCCCAAGGACAGCTTTGTGTTTTCTTTTAACCCAAGTTATTGTTCAACATCATTTTACTTTAGCTTTCAAGTCAAGACAAATAAAAGGATGAACTCCTTTAAATGTCATATTTGATTGATATATTTTTTAACATGATTTTGGAATCCCTAAGTTTTTAAAATTACTCTGAAAATGGGAATCAAATTTTATTGAACCAGAATGAATGATTACTTTATGACCTTTATTATACATAATGAGAGAAAGGATAGGTTGTGGAAGGGCATGTCTACTTTTAAGGATGCTAATTCTAGAAATTAATTTACTAAAATGTTTTTGTGTTGCAGTTAACTTCAAAGTCTTGACCTATTTTAATTTGTTTCAGGAACTTTTGATTGACAAATTTCATGACCCAAAAATGTGCTTTGACATCTGCAGTTGTCAGTTTGTCTGTCATTACTCATTTGAGTCCTATGAGCAGGCTGACATGATGCTCAGAAATGCTTGTGAGAGACTGAGCCCTGGAGGCTATTTTATTGGTACTACTCCCAATAGCTTTGAACTGATGTAAGTACTTTCGTGGTTTATAAAATACTCAGAATTAAGCTTATTTTGAAGTAAATATTTATCAGAAATAGAGTTTATAAAACATGCCATGTTGATCTCCTCAGGGCTGAGTGCATTGATAATGTATTTGAGTAGATACTCAAAATTTAAGTTCAAAGAACAGATTTTCAGATGAACCTTTAAAACATCTTGTTGTGTAAGTTGGAGACTGACGTTACATGGAGCCAGAGGTTATAGTGCTAGACAAACTCCAGATCAGATACTGAGGCAGACTTAGCAGCTGTCATGATAATGAAAGCTACTTCCAGCCTAATTTTATTAGTGAGATTGTTAATGATCTTTTAGTATATTCCTTCTTAAAAGTAGCTCAAATCCAATTAAAAAGTTAATCAAGTGTCTTTAAAATTGCATCTTGTAGTTTTTTCACATGCGTAATCTGATTGAAATAACACTGAGCTAATAATTTTAATCTTTTTATTTTGGTTTGGGGATAACCTTTATAGAAGACGCCTTGAAGCTTCAGAAACAGAATCATTTGGAAATGAAATATATACTGTGAAATTTCAGAAGAAAGGAGATTATCCTTTATTTGGCTGCAAATATGACTTCAACTTGGAAGGTGTTGTGGATGTCCCTGAATTCTTGGTCTATTTTCCATTGCTAAATGAGTAAGAATGTCATTAATCTGTTACTATTCTCTTTTTGCTTTAGGAGAGAAAGAAAAGGAAAAAAAACTCAGTATTTCTATTTATTCTGTATTTTAAATGGGACCTAAAGAAAAGGTATAGCCTTCTAAAAGAAAGACTAACCTCAAATACAGGGTTGGTGCTGTAGGTCTCTTACAGCCTTACTTTAGCTTTCTCTCATTCCTGGAATTATTTTATCCTGTAGGTAAGAAAGGGAGCCTATTGCCTTCAACTTATGGCAGAAAATACCTGACATTGCAAATAACAGAAGATTTTTTTTTTTTAAGTAACTGTTAGTAACTTTGGTAATATAAAATGAGTCTTCATAAAGCACAGATCCTCCTTTTAACAGGGATAGGTATTAAAAGTTGTTTCACATTTCACTATAGCTTTGAAATTGCCTGTGTCTCACAGGCAATGTTGATAATAAAATCCTGATGCAGGAGTGTATTCACTCATGCACCTGAATTCCTAGAAGTCCTGGCAAACCCAGGACACCAGGAAGGTTGGGGCAGTCGTCATCAGGTGGAGCTTCAAGGCCTTTTGAGACATCTTGGCCTTGGGGGTTTCCGTGATAGGCAGAGTGGAAGAGCCGCCTGAAATGTAGGCCAGGTCACAGTTGGCTGAACTTGATTTCCTGCTTTTTAAAAACAAAAGTCTTTAATTGAGGAAAAAGAAGAACTTTATTTTCTACTTGTTTTTGGTTGGTAATTATTTGAATTGTGTCTCTGTCAGCTTGTGAAATTATAAGTATAGAATTTTTAGGAGTTCTACAATACATAAAAATTTTATACAATAATATGAGAAAATTAAGTAGCATGTGACTGAACATGAGGAAAATACTATACACAATTTATAAATGTAAACTATAAAATTAACAAATTTAAATCACATTTTTTTCCTTAAAATTAGTAAACTTTTGGGGAATGTTATTGCTCTTCAACTTTATAAAAGAAGAAATAAAACAAACGTTTTTAGTATTATGTTTAGTATTTAGCTTGGTGTTTTTGGTTATCAAAGTTGGTGATTTGAACATACCCAAAAAGATAAAGAATAAAATGAAATTTTTTTAAATGCGAAGCAAGCACCAGCAATCTTTTCTGCTTTAAATTGCCTAATGTTGATAAATGTATAGTCATGAATCATCACTTTAATATCTAAATATTTTAAAAAGTATTTATTGAAACAGGTATTCATTCAGTGAGACAGCATCTGAAAGTGTTTAGGGATTTTGAGCTGGCCCTTTTGCCATTTCATTAAACTGAACAAAAGTGTAATTAGCTTTTATATGGCAAACCTATTCACATTGGTCAAATTGAGTCTCTGTTCTTTGTAATTATGGTATTTCTTAGGTGTAAAACTTCATTTCATTTCTAAAGGCTTATTTTGGAGATTTATGATAGAAAATGAACTGCCTAGAATAGAAAATGAACTGCCTAGAATAGAAGAGACTTGTATCTTTACTCACGTTATCTTTCTAAGGAGGGCTAATTCAAATTACAAGGAATCCTGCCTTACATATGCCTCTCACATACAAATCCCAGTGGCCTTCACATATTTTCCTTCACCCTGTCCCCTCAGCTGTCACCTCACAAGCTCTCTCATGTACCCTTTCAGAGTTTTTTCCCCTTTTCTTCCTCTCCTCCTTTACCTGCTTCCTGAAATCATCCCTAGGCTCCCTCATGTTGCCTACAGATACATAATTATAAACTTTGGCAAATGCAGTGGGGGAAAAAAACCAGAGTATAACAGGGAGACCTAATGTAATTAAGGATTTAAGGAAGCTACCTGCGAAGAAGTATTGTTTAAGTCAACATCTAAAGGATAACTAGGAGTTGGCCATTGAAGCCTGGAAGGGAGACTGTTCAGGCATAAGGGGCAGTATGTGTGAAGGCCCTGAAGTGGAAAGAGCTAGGCTAGTTCAAGGAGCTGAAGGAAAACCATTGTGACTGGGTCTTAAGGAATAAGGGCCAGGTAGCTCAGGATGAGGCAGCATTTCATTATAAATGAGTGCCTTAGAGGCCATATTAAAGGCTTTTGAATTGTGTCCTAAGTGTGCTGAAGAAACAGTGAAGGGTGGAAAGGAGAGAAGTCACATATTTATTTTTGAAAGGCTTAATCTGGCTGCAGTTGGAAAATTCATTGAAGGAGAGTAAGAATAGAAGCAGGGAAACAAGCAAAGTGCTACAGCCTGGTGGTGGTGGTGATTGAAGCAGGATGGTGGGCCAGTGAAGAGATGAGAAGTGGACCTATTTGAAGTACGTTTTATAGGTAAATGGAGAGGATGTAGTGTTACCGCACAAAGGACACGATCTGCTCGCCGCGAGACAAAAGCCAGTCGTCAAGAGGCAAGATGGTGGAAAAGAAAGGGCAGTTTATTACAGCTTGCTAACAAGGGGGAAGATGGCCAACTAATGTCTCAAAGAACTATCTTAAGGGGGCACAAAATCTTACAGCGGTTACATAGGCCAGTGGGTTATGGGGTGGGAGGGTGGTTAGGAATGTTGACCCTCTGGTGTTACAGACTGGGAGTGCGACAGCAGATCTTTCAGTTTTCACTGATGATGACTATCAGCATAGACTCTCTGTTTGGGGGTCATCACATTCCTAAGGTACTCAAAAGAACAAAGTTATCATCTTATCACAGCTGGGAGGTACATGTACAATCAAGGGTTGTAAAATCTACAGAGCAGTTAGATCTCCTGGAGGGCGCATATCCAGCTGGATTAGTTAGGCAGAGGTCATTCAAAGCTACAATAAAGTTTCTTTTCTACAATATGGCTTCCCTTATGTCAATCTTGTCTTGAGCCAGTATTAGCAGTGGTGTGTTGAACACAGCGGGCATAGGAGAGAGGGAGATGGCATGGAGAACTTTGAATTTCCTGGCGTGAAACATTAGACGAATTTACTGATATGGCAAAAATTGGCAGAGCAGTCTAGTGGAGTTCAACCTTGGATATGGAAAGTTAGAGAATGCCTGTGACATATCCTGGTGGAGATTTCTAGGAAGCAGTGGAATAAGTGAGTGTGACACAAGAGAGAGTTGAGCTACAGATAGCTGTTGGCCTGCTGTGTAGTCAGGGAAGTGAAAATGAGTAAGGCTCTGGGCCAGAGATCTTCAGAACCTTAAAACTTAAAGTTGGTTAAAAGAGACCTATAAAACAAACTGCAAAGAAGCAGCCCAAGATATAGGATAAAAACGAATACTATATCTTGTCAGAGAATCCAAGAGATGAAAGAGAATATTTTAAGAAGGAAATTGGCAGCTATTTTCAGTGCTGCTGTGAGGGATCAAGTTAAATAAAATGGAATCAATAGAAAAGTGTTCCTTATAGCTCTTAGTCCCCATCTCACAGCCTTTCTCTTTACTTCCTGACTTATTTGTTACGTTAATAGAGAGAGCTGCCTGTGACCCATTGAGATTTAGAATACATATCCACCCCCCACTCCCACCCCCACTGGTGGCACAGCGGTTAAGTTTGCTCACTCCACTTCCGCGGCCCGGGGTTCGCTGGTTCTGATCCTGGACGCAGACCTACACACCACTCATCAAACCATGCTGAGGCGGCGTCCCACGTAAAGCAACTAGAAGGTTGTACAACTATGGCATATAACTATCTACTGGGGCTTTGGGGAGAAAAAAGGAGGAAGATTGGCAACAGATGTTAGCTCAGGGCCAATCTTGCTCAAAAAAGAAAAAAGTTAAGGGTCATGCCACTTCAAAAAAAATGCATATTTCCTTATAGGCATGGTTATTGGTATGTTGCTCTTCATTCATTTTGCATCATCCTATTGTGAATTTATAAAGGTGATGGTAGCTTTTTTGTTTAAGCCCAGAAGATGTCACCGTTTTGTGAAAGTAAGCTATTGAGGAATTGCAAATATTTTGGAAGCCTTTTCATTAAATAATATTTTTTGGACAGAATGGCGAAGAAGTACAATATGAAACTAGTCTACAAAAAAACATTTCTGGAATTCTATGAAGAAAAGATTAAGAACAACGAAAATAAAATGCTGTTAAAACGAATGCAGGCCCTGGAAGTAAGTATTTAGAAAAGGTGTAAAAACTCCAGGTTATGGTAAATTTGTTTGGCTGTTTCTGAGATTCCTTTCAAGGCCGTGTAGGCATTCAATATTTATATAAATTACGCAGATTATTTATAACTACTCTAGACTCTTCAGCACCTAGGACAGAGCTTGGTACAGAAACTTGCAATGGTGGGTGCTCAGTAGATACTTGAATGAGTGAATGATGTGATGCTGTCATCAAATTCTATTTTCTAGATAGTACTGCTTTAAAATAGGATTTCTCAACCTCAGGACTATTGACATTTTGGACTGGATGATTCTTTGTTATGGGGCGCTGTTCGGTGCATCGTAGGATGTTCAATAGCATCTCTTGCCTCTACCCACTACATGCTAGTAGCACCCCTGCCCCGAGCTGTGATAGCCAAAAATGTCTCTACGTTGCTGGATGTCCACTGGGGTGCAAAATCACCCCCAGTTGCAAACCACTTCTTTACAGTAATGCCCTTTGGTTACATCAGTAATTTAAAACCTTCCTGGCCAGGGTCCAAGACAAGTTCATACCATGCATAATTTTGTTCTTGCATGACTATCTAGCAAGATTCCAGTCTTTTTGATTGTATTGGTCCTGAGACCTGCTTTAACTCCTGGGTTCCTCTCTGCTTCCCCTAATGTAGCAGTGAAGGTAATTTATATGAGCTTTAAACACAGTCTACAGCCATTGATTAGTTAGTTTTCCTTATGTCCTTGATCAGTGTTTAATTGGACAGATCTAAAATAGCATTTTTTGTTATTGATCAGCAGAATCATATTAATTAGTCATTAAATTTCTTTAGAGAGTTCATTCAATTTAGCATATTTTTTAAAGTACTTTAAATATACTCTTATTTATCCTCATAATTACCCTATGAAGTAGGCAGAGCAGCCACTTTCCTATTTTTGAATGGGCAGTCTGAGGCTCAGAGATAATAAATGACTGGTTTAAGGTCACATGGCTATTAACATTCAAATTTTTTTCATTTTTTATAGGTGTTGTTCAAACAAAAGTCTCTTGTTATAGTTGTATCCATACCTCCGCCTCCCAATTTTGAGTGGAAGGATCCTCTTTAAATCCTAAATTGTCTTGAAACCAGTAATCACTAAAATGTTATATTCTTTCGTTGGTTATATTTCCTATATTTTAGAATTAGGAATGTTTGTATTTGCTTTATATTAGGAGGAGAGGGTTGTTTTTGTTTGTTTTGAGGGAGAGGGTAAAACTAGAAAAAGTGTGTGTACATAAATCACCACACACACACATGCCTTTAGTATGTCATCTTTACTTGATGGAGCTTTGCGTGTACAATTATACAGTTATTTATACTTTCTCTTAGCAGATAAGTAAGTAATGAATTGATTTGGGTAATTTATTCAAAAGTATATGTAGATAGTGGGATATGGGATAATAAGGTCTCCTTCCTTCAAGGATCTTATGGTATATTAAGGAGATAAAGATACAAGCAAATAATTCAGTACAATGTGAAATTTGCAGTAATGAAGAAATATTTAAAGTGCAATGAGTATATAAAAGGGTCTTTTGGGAAGAAGGTAGACCGTAAGAGTAAGGACAGATACGCATGAGTGAGCAGGGAATGTTTGAGGAAGTACTAATAACTTTCAGTATTTCTTTAGCACAGTGATTCTCTGGTCTTCCCTCCCAGTACTGCCCTTGAGGATATGACCTATTACTGTGGCTCTCTGGGGACATACATGAGCAATAATAGTGTGCAGTTTGAAAAAGTCCTTTGGTTTTTCCCACTTCTTCACCAAGTCACTTTTGCAGGCATGTAAAGGACTTTGAGCAGGAGGGGACGTGACCCAGCAAGAATGAGAACGTGACTCAGGTGGCAATATGGAGGATGGTAGGAGGCGTGTTAAGACCAGAGGCAGAAAGAGCAGTCAGGATGCTATTCCTTTAGCATCCAGGTCAGAGATTTAAATGGATCTATTTTTTGATGTTTGCCACAAGAAGTCTTTTCCTAAAGCTGTCGGCCTTCAGCTGGCCCAGAGTTTCAGCAATAGAACCAGTAAAACTTTGCCCTGCTCTCCTGGAGCAGCATAGCAGAGGGAAGGAAGAATGAAAAGACGCAAGCCAAGAAACTGTAGTTATCAAGTCTTCACACCTGTTTTGTTTTTTCTCACCTGGGAACAGTTCTCAAAAAGTAATGGCTTTGAGAGGAGACACTTAATGGGATATACATTTTAGCAAGTTTTGAAAAAACAATCAGTTCTGCAGCTTTATAATCATATGTTGTTTGGTCTTTTAAAATGATCAGTTGGGGAGAGAAACTAGATGTCCAGGGACAGGCAAATAATCCCATGGAGGAGACTTACACTGACCAGTTGAAGAGCAAATTTACAACAGAATAGTTGGGCAGTCTTTAGTTTTGAAACTTCGTGATGTGATGAAACCATAAGATGTGGGATTGAAAGTTCAAAAAAACGTAGTGATAATAAGTGATGTTTCTTACATCCTTTGTGTTAAGATACAGTAAAAAGCAAAGTTGCTAATGGTAACAACACGGAAGTGCAAACAGCCAATGCTTTTTAAACAGTAAGCAGCTAACTTTCTAATGCCTCAGCTTATTGTAGGATATTTATAAAGAAAAGGGAAGAAGAAAATAGCAAAGTAGACATTCCTGGATCATTTTCTTAAAAATGTATCAGGGTGGGCCTGGCCTGGTGGCACAGCGGTTAAGTACACATGCTCTGCTTTGGCGGCCCAGGGTTCCCAGGTTCGGAACCCCGGGCGCACACCGACACACTGCTTGTTAAGCCATGCTGTGGTGGCGTCCCATATAAAGTAGAGGAAGATGGGCACAGATGTTAGCCCAGTGCCAACCTCCCCCACAAAAAAGGGGAGGATTGGCATTGGATATTAGCTCAGGGCTAGTCCTCCTCACAAAAAAAAAAAAACAAAAATTCATCAGGATGCTCTAGGTCTAAGGTGGTTCCTTGGTAGCTGGTTTGTTGTAATAAGACAAAGAAAAGAATTATAAAGAATATATAACCAGGCCGGCCCCGTGGTTAAGTGCGCGCGCTCCGCTACTGCTGGCCCGGGTTCGGATCCTGGGCCCGCACCGACGCACCGCTTCTCTGGCCATGCTGAGGCCATGTCCCACATCCAGCAACTAGAAGGATGTGCAGCTATGACATACAACTATCTACTGGGGCTTTGGGGGAAAAAAAATAAATAAATAAATAAAATTATTAAAAAAAATATATATATATAACCTTCGGGCCAGCCCCGTGGCTTAGCGGTTAAGTGCGCGCGCTCTGCTGTTGGTGGCACGGGTTTGGATCCCAGGCACGCACCGAGCCACCGCTTCTCCAGCCATGCTGAGGCCGCGTCCCACATACAGCAACTAGAAGGGTGTGCAGCTGTGACATACAACTATCTACTGGGGCTTTGGGGGGAAATAATAAATTAATAAATGAAATTATAAAAAAAAAACAAAAAACATTCTTGCTTCTAAAAAAAAAAAAGAATATATAACCTGTGTAGAGTAGGTGGTAGTTATATTAAATATTCTATACAATTTATTTTGATTTTCTTAAAGTGGGTTAAAATTAGTGCTTGAGATAATTTGAATAAACATTTGGCCAGCATACCCTTAAAAACACAGCATTTTTTTTGTGGCCCTTCAGATTCTTCTGGAAATATGGAGACTGCCTGTATTTTGGAGGCTGAATTATTTTTCTTATCTTCTTGAACTTGCAGGGTTCTCTGTTGACTAGAGTTTTTCACTTGTATTATTTCTAATTGCTGTTCACGCTTTCCATGGCTATTAAAATCACCATAATGCTCAAATTAGTATTAAACTCTTGATAATACCTTCCTTCAGCTCTGTGTTGTAACAGAAAAAGCCTTTGACTGGGAGTCAGGGAGATGCAAGTGTTTGCTGCTAAGTGGTCCTTGGTGGTGATTAAATGGTACAGATTAGTCCAACAGTAAATATTTTATGATTATGATCAACGTTGACCATAATAGCTGCTTTGTTAAGAGAGGATTCGCTCTACTCATTTTTTTTTCATATTTCAAAAGTATGTGTAGTTTGTATTCCTGAAGTAATACTTAGGGATTATTGGCTTAATTATTTTATTTCAGTGATTTAGTGTATTTAATTCTGAATTGTAAATTTCAATGTAATATCTTAACTAGGAATTTCACTTGCTTCCCTAGCCATATCCTGCAAATGAGAATTCCAAACTTGCCTCTGAGAAGGTGGATGACTATGAACATGCAGCAAAGTACATGAAGAACAGTCAAGTAAGGTTACCTTTGGTAAGTTTTCATTTTTTGACATATTTTACAGAAAATGAAACAAAAAGCATATATTATATGGAAACTTAGGAAATTATTTCACTGGTTTATAATTCTTAGGTTCACTGAGTTACAAATAAGATACATATTAGTCTGTTTCCCCTAAGTTATGCTGACTTTTTATAACCATAGAATATAGAATAAAATGTACTTCAGTGAACTGAGAATGGAGTGCTATATCTGAGGCAGTAAAGATGGGGAAAAGTTATAGGCTTAGTTTGAGAGTTTGCTTACTATATCATTGTATCTTAACCTAGGTACTACTGACTCACAGTGTTCCATAGATAAAATTGAGGAGCTCATGAACTTAGATGGGAAAAAATTACATTTTCATTTTCACTGACTTCTACAGGGAAGTTCACATTTTTTTAAATTATGAATGCAACAGTACCACAGTGGTATTAGCTGTAGCTGTGACTTTGTCATCAATAAAATTATAGATATTTGTGTAACACATTTCTGCTGACATCTTAGAATATTGTTTATATTCATCACTTCCTGAAAATTACATTAGTTATTAGAATTGCCACTATATCTTGTTAGTCAATGCATGTGCAAAATAGCACATATATTACTGTATCAAAATTTTTTTTTAATATTTGGATAACTATTTTAAATATAATTTATTTCCTTTGTATGATATGTACTTTACTTTGTAATTGCTTTGTAAAAACACAAGAATCTTATTCCCTCCTGCAGGGCTATTTGATGTTTGAGATAGGCTTTTTTATTTTTTTGTTTTCCAAGTTAAAACTATTAGATAGATGCTTTTTCCAGTTACACACGTGCATGAATACTCTCTTTACTCAAATTCCCCCTTTGGTTGAGAATCAGTAGTTGAGGGAATTTGGCAGGAGGGCAAAAGTGGTGAGAAGGTGGCATTAAAGGTTAATCTCATTGACTCATTTTATGGGTTCAGATCACAATAATATTTACAGTAAATTGTATGTATATTAGTAGTGAAGTTAGGATTATTTGGGCACCTCTGTCCATTATTGAAAAATAAGCATAATATGTGCTTCTATATTCAATCTACAATTTTCTTTGTTTTTTTAATTTTAGGGAACCTTAAGTAAATCAGAATGGGAAGCTGCAAGTGAGTATATCACATCAGTGTAGATTTACTGACATTTTCAAAGATTGTTTCAAAGTGATCATTAAAATCTGAAAACTGTAGAATTTTTCTGACACATATTAGATTGTATGTGTTTAGTTTACACAAAATCCCTATATATGTCTAATTCCCCCTTTCTTGCACAGCTATTTAGTACCAAGAGAAAATATATGCAGGATGTTGCTAAACATAAACTTTCCTGAGCGTTGTGAAACATTTTTGTTGCCTACTCATTACTACATAGCCATCTGTATTTGATGTCTTTACCTCAGATTTCTATTGGAAATTTTGGCTTATAGGCCCTGTATTTTATTGATTCTAGCCACTCTGATGTTGACAGTGAAGGCATAATAAATACTAGAACATTTAGTGAAGAAGCAGTGAGCAGGATATTTTAGAAAGGTATGTGACTGGGAATAGGCATGATACAGAGACATTCTGGACCTGTCTTTGGAAGAGAAGTCAGAGGCCTGGTAAATCTGTGAAGTCCTGTGGTTCTTCAGTAGATGAATGTTGAGGAAGTCAGCTCTCAGAGTCTCACTGTTAAGATGATGCTAATACCCTTATATGGTTGCCCTGAGGACTTAAAAGATAGTTCCCACTGTTCGTTTAAATATTTGTTGATTGCGTTGAAGCCACAAGTGGTAATCAAAGACAATCCATCTGACAAACATTGAGAGTTGATTTATGTAAAGTTCTGTGAAAGGGCTTTTGGATCTAAAAAGGAAACAGGTTATAATCTCTGCCTTCCAGAAGTGTACTATCTAATGGAAGAAGTAGACACAAATAAATGCACCACTAGGCAAACCGTTTTAAGTGCTAAAGTTACCATAAGGGGAAAAATAAGTGAAGGAGAGATTAATAAAAACTAGTGAAATCTGAGAAATAATAATAGTTGATATTATTGAGTGTTTAACATGTGCCCAGGGACCATTCTAAGCTTTTCATTTGTTGTAACTCATTTAATTCTCACAGCTTTATAAGTAGACTACTGTTTATTATATCTCCTTTTCACGGATGAGAAGGCAGTTAAATAACTTGGCTAAGGTCACAGAGCTAACGCAGGTGGTCCATACTCATAACCATGGCCTCCTGGAAGCCCATGTGAAAGGAAAATTTCTTAGGACTTGCTGAATTGGATAGAGAGGAAGAGGAAAGAAGACAAACAGGGCCAACATTTTAAGCCTATTTGTCTCACAATATTGGTACCCTTAGTAGAAATGGGATCGGAGAATGTATTGTAGACATAATCTTCTTTGACAAACTGAGAAATGTGTGTGTAAACCTATGCATTTCATTACTTTTGCTAGAGTGGAGATGGGGAGCTATCTTAGATATCCCGCCAGTCCCAGAGTACTGTGAGAGGAAAACAACTTTGGTCAAAGGTTGTGATGGTGGTACTGGTTATGACTTAGAGCTATATTTTTATATTAAATGTGGACTTTAGTGATAACATGCAGATGGAGAATTACATGGCCCCAGTCAGTTGAGGAAGAGATGGGTTAGAGATGTGAAAAGCAATAGGAAAGGAGCAATAGCCAAACTGCAGTCAGGATCTAGCGTTCGAGATCAGCCTGCTCTTTGGTGAGTTACACTATTCTAAACTGGAGGACTTCGTGGGCAGGAGAGTATCTTGCCTGGTGTCACAGTTTAATAAGTGTAAGAAGCTATATTTTAAACTCCTGCTGGTCTAATCATTAAGCTCTTATTACCAGAGCCTGCTGCTTCTCTAGAAGATGCTTTAAATGTGAAAGGAAGGTAGGAAATTGCTGCTGATTTGCTTTTAGAAATGGTTCAGATTTGTTTCTTTAAATGCCAATTGAAATGCCTGCACAGAAGGCATTTTATATAATGAGTGAGACTTTCAGAATGTTTGAGTTAGAAAGGAAAGAAAGTTACTAATTGCTTCTCTGAAATCAGACACTGTTTCTCAGTGGTTTCAAAAGACCCTAGATTAGGACAGGACAGGATTAGCTGGTTGCTTGCAGAACATAGGTGTGTTTGGGGTGGGTTTGGCTGGGTTGGACTAGAGAAAGAACCCTTGGAGTACAGGGCAAGCTAAGTAATGCCGGCCTCTCCTAAGTCTCGTAACAAACTTGTGAATGCTTTAGACTGCTTCATTTCCTTATTCCCTACTTCCTTATCCTTTGGAAGAATCTATAGATTACTCTGCCTTTTTTCTGCCCATCTATTTCCTATACTGCCAGCCATGTTTCATTTCTCCTAAAAGAAATCAGGATCTAGCAGATAGGGAGCAGAGAACAGCATGACCAGTGTAGTAGTTTGGAAAGACTGGTATGGTGGTCCTGTACAGGTTGGGTTGGAAGGGCACAAACCTGAAGGATCGGGAGGCGGTTACATGGTCTGCAAGCAGTCATTCATCTATCCCCTATTCAAAAGTTAACTCAGAAAGCAAGAACTCCAAGTTACGTGGCCTATTTCTTGACTCGCTGGTTGAATATTCTAGCGCACGCCCTGAACATCCTTGTGATGTTTTGAGGATTTGTCATCTTTTTAGGTATTTTCTTACCATGAAGTCTGTTGGTATCTTATTGGAAAATATAATAGGTTTGATCATCAGTGTGATTCAGATTGGGGAACCATAGACACATTTAGATGTCTTTGAGTGAACACACATCAAAGCAGGAAACCTCATTTAAGGGAGAGTACTCTTGGGGCTGCATATGTGCAGGAATATCACTATTGAGGCCAGAAAAATAATATATCTAAGCATTGATTATTGTGTGGCTTTTGGCTCACTTTCCTTACCAGGCCCTACAACACAATTGGATAATTGGATGAATTTTAACATGCATACTATATGTTCCTTAAAATTCTTCTTCTTAGTTTTTCTATATAGAAAACTTAGAGTCCCACTGCCAGTAGTACTCATAGTAGTGCACTTATTCTACCTGTCTCGCTTCAGGTGAAAAGAATTAAATCATAAGATTTTTTTAGTTTTAGTTTTCCTTGGTTATATGCTTTTAAATTTGCTAATCTCAGACTTTTTAGAGATTTTTAGAGCTGTTGAATAGGTTTTCTCAAGGTCTGTGATGTCACTGAGTATTACAGTAAGTGAATATTTGTTTTCAGGTGAACATATATAATCCCATATCTGCTTAAATATGACTTAAAATAATTGAGGAACCCATAGAAATAATGGGATTTTTCCTCTTCAAAAGCTGCTTGAGAGCCTAAGAATTTTCACCAAATTACAAATAGGACTGAGATTATTGTTCTGTTTACTCTGAGGATATGAGAAACCAAACTCTAACATTTATTTATTTTCTTTTTAGGTATTTACTTGGTTTTTGCATTTGAGAAGCAGCAGTGAGCACATACACAGTAGCACCAGAACAGCTGTATTCCATCTTATGATCCATCTTAGATAGATTTGACAACTTTCCATTTGTTTATTTTAATTATTCTAAATGTGCAGGATGCTGCCGGAAACTCCACTGTATAAATTCAACATTTGCTGTCTGTGACAGATGAACTTTTGTTTGTGTATATAAGAATAAGTTGGGACCTTTGTCTTTAAAAATCTATTTTTAAGTAATGTTCTAAGAATTCCATTTGCCTCTACTCTCTCAGCTCATAAAAATTATAATATGACTTGTTAAAGCCGCTGAACTTTTTCCACAGTGTTCTGGTTTGTTCAGTGTTTGTTTACAGTATTAAATTTATTACAGTTATAAAATTGATGAGGGAGCATACTGATTTGCAGGTGTATGTGCTCATTTCCGTAGTTTTGTTATATAGTGTTTTTCAAGATTAAGTGGATTGTGTTCTATACAATTGAATGTAGGTGTTCAATATGTATTGCTAAAGTTATAAGTTCAAAACTAAATTTTAGATGGTTGTAAAAGTTGTCTAGAATTTTAGCCAGTTATTACATTTTGTTATAAATAATACTTTCTTTGTTAATATGATGCAATTCTGGAACTGTATAGAACATTTTAGATGCCAGCATAGAATTGTTTTGGATTTTGGGAGTTTTCTCTTAAGAATTTCCCACCATAGCAATTAATGTTCCTAGGTATCAAGAATGTAATTAGACAGATTTACCTTTCTTCATTGAACAAAAATGCTGTAGTTGTTTTTCTTAAGATTTCATGAAAACCTCTCCCATAAACCTGTTGCACATTTTCGTCAGATTTGTATATGGAACTGCAATAGGAGGATGTGACTGTGAAGGAAGCGAACAGACTTCAGGTTAATTCTCCCCGATGTTCCGTCTCAGTTACTGGCGCCACGTGCTGTAGACCTGTTACCCCCTTCAGCCCAGAAAGAAGCAGTTTCTTTTCCTCTATTACAATATCATACTTTGCACAGTAGGATCCAGAGTCTCATCACCATTCAGAATTTGTATTTGCCATTTTGGAACTGTTAAAATTGTCAGCCTTGGCTCCTTGCTTGACTGTTCTTCCAAAACTGACACCTAGGTGAGCTCTTGTCCTCACTTTATGTCACCATTTAGGAAACTTGCCAGTTTTTAGATGTAGTGAAAAACTTAAAGAGCAAAGCAGAGCAATTATTGCCTATTCTTTTAAAAATCATTTATTTAAGGCATATTTAAAACACATTGTTTTCTATAATTATCCAGAGTGTTTAAAAAGTATAGTCTCTTAATTCGTTTATATATGTTGATTGTTCGTGGTATTAGAGTAGCAAATCTTTTAGCAAGAGAACACGAGTTACCTAATTTCTGTTCATTTCTGTTGATTCTGCAATCTGTCAATCTCCAAACTGTTACCAGTTTACAAAAATTAAGTCTTTTTGCCTTAGTGGTGGTTTGCCGTAAGTCATTCGGGGAAATAAATAATAGTACTTCGGACTAGGGTGGCTGCTGTTAGCTAGCTAATGATGGGGTCTTAGTGTTAACATATCCAGGCTTGTTTTAGTTCTGGGTGAAGTGCCGGGAAGTATTTTTGATAGTTCAGTAGAGTATGAAAAGCTTCTGTATTATTTCGTATCTCTATTCTCGTTTAATGGTCTTAGTTAATTTTAAGCAAGTAATAAAACATTTTTAGCCTCTTTCTGCTCTTTCCACTCCATGGATAATTTGGGAGAGAGAAGACTCCCCCAAAGGATGGAGTAATTGGTGATAATACAAAGCAGGGAGAAAAGGAAGGTGGAGTCTCCAGGGCCTTCAGTGGGTAGAAAGGAGCAGAGAGAGCCTGAAAGGATCAGGCAGGGCTCAGGGGTCTGAGGAAGGTGTTGTGTGTGCAGGAGAGGCGCGGAGCCATGCTCAGAGGGTGCAGAGTTCCGGCAGTTGCCGTTTCGTTTGAGCTTTGTTGGCCTCATTGCCATCTCTGCTTTTCCCTCCACTCCCCGATGTCTCATTGCTGCAGTTAAGTGTCTGGGCAGTGACTCAAGAAGAACTGTTAGGAAAAGATGGCCCCTGCCCACAATCTCCTATCACCAAGGTAAACGCGAGTAGGACTCCCCACCCCCCGCCAGCACACATGCAGTCTAAATATTTGGTGATTTTCCGTTCAAGACTTGTGGTAACTGTTACAAGAGGGGCATGGCTTTGCACTGTCAGATCAGTGGTGTAAGAGGTTCACGGAAGTGACTGCCGGGCACTCCCAGACCTGCCATTCAGTTTGTCCTCCAAGGATAAAAATAGAAATAAGGATCAAATCAGGCATTTGTGGAAAGGACACAGCCTGAGATTGGGAGGATTGATCTAGGCTGGATTCTGGTAGAACTAAGAATGCTCAAACTGAATTCTTTGGGGCTAGAATATACTACAGGAAAGGCACTACATAGCTACAGTGTTTGGGAAGAGAAACTGGCCATTTTCAGCTGCATCCAAAGGGGAGGTCTCCTAACCTACAGACTGCAGCAAGCCTGTGGGTAGTGACTCTGCTCTTTCAGTGCCCTCCAAGCCTCTGGTTCTAATGTGACTCTCGGAAGAAATTTGCCTTCAGGGAGAGAAGGCATTGATTATAGATACTTTGGCTTCTATGAACTAATCTGTGTAATGACTCTGAAAGGTGGATTATCATACAGAGTTTCCTACGCCCTCCCCAAACTTGGAAGGTGAGGAAATATGACTGCTGTCTAAATTTGTGTTAAAAGCATTAGTAGGGCATCAGAGCAGAGGTGTATAAAGTGAGATGGGCTTTGAAGCAGGGTGCAATGTTGATCAGCAATGGAGAGGCAGAAAAAGCATTGTCAGCTAGCTACCAGATGTCCAGATCTCCAGTCCCATTATCTCTTTTGGGAATTTATTCTTCAGCTTGTCTTAGCTTCTTGCCATTATGTTACTTTGAAATGTCTTCAAGTATCCTTCTAATCAAGATTTGGTTTCTTGGATAGGTCTCCCTTACGGGAGAAAATGCCAGTATGAATATTCTAGCTACTGAACGTTGTTTTTCATTGATGATAAACTTTTCGTTGTCTACCTCAGGCTTTGTATGTATCGTGAGCCAGTCACTGCCAAGGTCTCTTAAGGGTCTTCAAAGTGGAGGTCATTTCCAGGGACCAGGGCCCTATAATATACGTTGTACCAAAATACCTGTTGCTTTTACTGGTCCTTTGGTCAATAGGAAGCATAGGTATATGATGTCACCACCTCCCTAGCTGCGGTTATATGGAGTACTACACCTGATGAGAAGTTTCTTCATTTCCCCACCCTCTGACAGAGCAACATTCCTGATTGTTTGAAGGCAATCAATGCAATGACTGCTACACTTATTTAGTGATAGACTTATTTAGCAGATATATAGGGGATGGAGGTTGGAGGACAGTCACCTCTTCACCTGCGTTCTTCTCCGTTTCTCCTCCACTTCCATTTAGCCCTGAAGCGTGTGTGCCTGTTCCTCACTGCAATACTGAGCAAGTGTGGACTTCAGGAATACTCTCCTCAGTTTGCCTGGGGAGACTTTTGTGTCAGCCCCAAAGCCCTCTCTGCTCCCTGGACTCATCCTGTATGATGCGTCCTTGGGGACAACATACCTTGGATAAAGCCAAGTTGACAGCTAATATTTATTAAGCTCCTACCTTATGTCAATCACTTTTCTAAATGTTTTATATATGTTAACTCATTTTGATCCTTGTAACAACTGTATGAGGTAAGCACCATTATCCCTATTTTAATGATGAGGAAACCGAGGCACAGGATACAAACTTGCCCAAGGCAGAGCCAGGATTTGAGCACCCCATATCCCCCAAGTCAGGCCTGCACTCCAATTGCATGTTATTTACCTCCAGGAGTGTTAGAAAGGCCCAAATGACTCCTTGCTGATCCACTACATGGGACTTGAAATGTTAACTATTGGAGCTACATCTTTTTGGTTTAAAACTTAGATACTTGTTTAAATGTTCCCTGAGAGGAAGATTTACTCCTGAGTGAGAGGCTGTGAGGCAGAGAGAGCAGGAGGGCACTTGAGTTTACTAGGGGAGGAGGTAAAAAGTGAATAGTCAACAGGCAGGAGGGGAAGATAGACTTGGATTTCACATTTTGGTAGACCTGCTCCTTTAGTAACCAGACCTGTAGCAAATCTAGTCTGTATGTTAGCTGGCGTGGGGAGGGGGCTGGTGGTGGAATCTCCTCTCACCCTCCTTAGAAGTGGCAGTTAGGAGTTGAGAGAGTGTAGCCAAGGGAAGAGGCCAAGAGAAAAGAAATTATTTCTTCAGTTTGAGATGATTACTCAGGTAGAGGCAAATCATTTTGTTTTAACTTTTTACTGAAGTGTAACATATATACAAACAAGTTAGTGATTTTTAACAAATAGAACACAGGCATACAGTCACCACCCAGATCAACAAACAATATTACCAGTACGCCAGAAGCTCCCCTCATGCTCCCTTCCAGTTACTACCTCCCCAAAGGTAACCACTATCCTGACAATCTAAGAGCATAGACTAATTTTGTCTGTTTTTGGACATTACATGATTGGAATCAAACAGTATATATTGCTTTGTATCTGGCTTATTCTCTCAACATTATGAGATTTTTGTTGCATGTAATTGTACATGGTTTATTCTCATGACTGTATAGTATTCCACTGTGTGAATAAACCACGTATTATTTATCTGATGGATGTTTGGTTCATTCCCAGTTTGGGAACTATTATCAATAGTACTGCTTCAAATATTTTAGTATATGAATTTTGGTGCACATAGGTAGTCATTTCTGCCTAGGCGTGGAATTGTAGTGTCATAGTATTTACATTATGTTCAACTTTACTGGATACTGCCAAAGAGTTTTCCGAAGTTCCAGTTGCCCCACATTTTCGCCAGCACTCAGTAGTGTCAGTCTTTTTTATTTTGTTCTGTCAGGCATGTAGCTGTATCTTAGTGGGATTTTAGTTTTCATTTCACTGATTATTAACATGATTGAGCACTTTTCATATGTTTATTGGCCTTTGATTGTCCTTTCATGAATTATCTGTTCAAGTTCTTGCCAATTTTTCTGTTGGGTGGACTATCTTTTTGTATTGACTTCTTGGTTTTTAAAAATATATCTATTCTGGGTACAAGTCCTTTGTTGAATGTATTGCGTTATGAGAACATATTTGATGAAAAGCTCTTAATATAGTACAATATACCAATGTTCTCCTTCATAGTTGGCATATTTTGCTTAAGAAATCTTTTTCTACTCCAAGATCATGAAGGTGTTCTGTATTTTCTTCTAAAGTCTTTTTTTTTTTTTTTTTTTTTCCTTTCACTCTGAAATCTTACTGAATTGATTTTTGTTAATAGTGTGAGATAGGGTTTAAGGTAGAAGTTTTCTGTTATGGATTTCCAGCTGCCCTAGTACCATTTATTGAGAAAAACCATCCTTTCCCCACTATACCACAGTTTTTCACCTTTGTCATGTATAAGGTGATCATATATGTATGGGTTTGTTTCTGTATTCTGTTCCAATGGTCAGCTTGTT